ACGAGTTTTCATGTGGAAGGAACTTGGTGAAGAAGAAATATTACAAGTCATCCAGATGAATACACAATTTTACATGAGTGACTTCAAATGGTCCTAATTTGGTAAATTTTTATCACCTTGAGTCCATTCTTTTTCCATAATGATCTTGAAGATATGAACTTTATGCCTTCTTTTATGTGCAAAGTGGGAAAATGGATGGAAGTTGCCTTAAAGATGCAAAAGATTATAGGTCATTTCATGATTTTTTGCCAACTTCAACAAGTCATAACTTGCTCAAATTTTGGAGGTTTTGAATGATTCAAGTTTCAAAGTTTCAATCAAGAGGTCTACTTCATGCCATATTTTTTGGTCAAGAGAAAATTACAAGTGGAAGGCCATGTTTGGATGCAAGACATTATAGGTCATTTTTGAAGAAGAATGTGAAATATTTCTAAGTATGGAAAGTCAACCCTTTTTCTTCAACTTTGACTCAATGCAACTTTCATCTCAAGCATCCATTTAACTCCATTCTTTTTCTATTGCAAAGCTTGTAACTTCATCTTTCTAAAGCATCAAGAATCATGCCCTAAGACCCCTTTAGTTGAAAATTCCATTGGTCAGAAGTTGGCACTTTGAAATTGAATTTCTCACCAAGTCAGAATTTTGAAATCCATAATGTGGCCTCTAATCACAAGTTTTCCACGCATTTTTGCCTCTAAACATGTTTAGTGAAGTTCCAGATTTGTTTAGCGCATCAAAATGCAAGAATTGGATGAGTTTTGATGAAGTTTGTATCACACTTCACTCGTGCATCAGGTGTGCACGATTTCCCTCCAAATCGCATCATTCACTCTTCCTTTTGATCCCATTCGCTTCTCCTATAAATAAATGAACTATCCCATTCAATTTCCCAAGCTTGGATAGCCAGAATCACCCTGCCAAACTTGCTCCATAACTCAATTTTCCGTAACTTCAAAATCTATTCTCGACCCTTTTTCAATCCAATTTTTCCATCAGTTCACCTTCCTTGATCTTCCCTGAAGCTAACCATATAATTACATTCAAGAATCGTGTCCTATACTGCTCCATAGAAGTCCAGTTTCAGAGCTCTGTAACTCAACTTTAATAGGTAGATTCCTTCATCAATTCTTCAAAAATTTGATATCATTTTGTTTCTCTCATTACCCTGGTTCCAGTCGCAACACTTACCTTTTACTGGAAACACGTTTTGACCATGAAATTTCAAATCCATTTTCAAAACTTTCCTTCCAAATTGCTTGAGCTACAGTTTATATAAATTTGGCGCAAGGGTGTGGTTGTCTGTGCTTGAAGAGACGAAGCGAATGAGCTTCTGATTTTATAGTTTGAGAGACTTGCAATTCGTGATGGCTAGAGGTTAAAGATGACCAACGTGTCATCTTCTAACCAATGAAGGCGCGCCATCTGTATTTTTCAAATTCTGATTTAATTAATGATTCTGTACAATATTCACTAATGACCATGATATGCACAGCGCGCCAGATCCCTTGGATTTTATTACTAACGCGTTTTGACTTTCATCCAATGGTCCACATATTTTACTTTTATTTTCTTTTTCTGATTTTTATATTTTAATTGTTTTAAATTTCAAAAAAATCATAGAAAGTTCATTTTTAGTCCAAAAAATTTGAAAAAATTATGAAAAATACTTTTGATTATTCTCTTTCTGATTTTTATTTTTTCACAATTTAATTTTGTGTTTTGGTATTTTTTTTACAAATTTTACACTTATTTGATTTGTTTTAAATGCTTAAAAATACTTTTATACATTTTTAAATTCTGAAAAAATTATGGAATGATCCAATGATATTGTGACAAATGTTGGTGACCTTATTTTATTTTTGTTTCTGACTTTACTATTTTTTATCATTTTTCTTTTATTTGACCCATTTATTTTAATTTTAAAAATAGTTTTTGACTTTAAAAAATTACCAAAAAATTGTAAAATTACTTAGGCCTTTTTATGATTTTTCTATGGTCTTACTTTTCATTTCTTGATTAATTTGAACATAGTTGATATTTTTCTCATTATTTTCTATTTTTAAAACATTTTTAAAAATCTTTTTTGTGTATATTAAATGTGATATTATTTTGTGGTTATTTTATGGCTGATCTTGGGTTAGATTTTGGATCATGAACTTTATTAATATCATTGGATCCATGGTGTTGAGTTTAACTCCACAAAAATGGATGAATGATTTTAATAATAGTTTGATTAAAATTTAATTCAAATGTGGTTTGTATATTTTTCCCATCCCTCTTCATCTCATCCCTCTCTTATTGCACTAGATGTTGTTGGAGCATGATCTCTATATCATGTCTCAAAACAAATGGTGCATAAATTGCTATTGACCGGTCTCAAAATAGGTGTGACTTCTATATAAGTCCACTTACGATTGCTTAACATAACACTAAATTTTGTCACGATTCGAATAAATGATCATTCGTGGCCCAAACTTCTGATTGCAAACCCAAGTATGTTAATTTAATTTTTTTGATCCAATAACCTTGAGATTCATTGTGTGGAGGCTTTGGTTCTACCAATCCTCTAATGGATCTACAACACCTTGGGTCAACGCGGATCACTTAAACATCGTTGATCATTAAATGGTACTTATGAGAATTCTAAATGGATGATATACTTGACAATAAGCAAATGCAACTTGTTATGTGGAGGCTTTGGTTCTACCAATCCTCTAATGAGTTCCAAATACAAGCTTCAAGATGGTCATCCAACTAACCACTAATTATTGACTTGTTTACCTTATACTTTTGTTTTTTTTTTATGTTTTATGTACTATTTACTTTTAGCATTTACATTTCATGCCATTTTCATCTTTGCTCATTTGAGCATTTATTTTCTTGCCATTTTTATTTTGCTCACTTGAACTTTTCTTTTCCTTTCTTAAGATACTTAACAAATCAACATAAATCCTAAAGAATCTTTAATGGTGCTTGGACTATTTGGTTACTATCATTGGTATTATGGAGCATGAGACTTTTCTTGGACTTAGGATTAGAAACCTTGACCTATCTTGGAGATCTTATCTGATTATTTTGTATGGAGTTCTTTAGGTTTACCTCAAGACATTGGGTTGCTTGTTTGTTTTTGTGTGCAGGTTTTTGTGATTACTCCCTTTGTTTGTAATCTGGAATTCACTCGTATACAACCGTTACTCTGTCCAATTTTTTGTGAAGACTTAATACACTTGAAGTTTGATTCTCTCAAGAGATCTAGCATTTCTTTGCTTGATTGGTTTCAATCCAAGGAATGGAAATTCTATCTTGGTTCATAATGTCAAGTATTGGTTTCTTGTTGGTTAAATGGTTCTTATCCCTAGCTTTTACCTTATGCTTTAGGATATTCCCTTCTTCTCCTCCCATCTTCTTTAATTTCAAAAATCTTCTTTCCCTTTTTGAAAACTCTTCTTGTTTTTGAACTTGAACCACTTTCATAATAAACTTGGACTTATGTCCATGCATTTTCAAAACATTTTTCATAAATAAACTCCAATCAACTTAATAATGCCTTGACATTTTTGTGAGAAGACTAAAAGTCAATCAATCTCATTTCAAACTATTTTGCCACTTTGGCTCTTTTATTTTAAAAACTTTTCTCAAAAAAAGGTTGAACTCTTGTCAATCCTTGTAGTGATGCAAACAACTATACTTCTATAATATGTAGTAAAGAGAGATATTTTCCACTTGGTGTTGAGTGAGGCATTGTTGATTTTTTTTTAAAATCCAAGCCATATCATCCACTTTGAGATGATGCAAATTCTCCTTTCTCATGATTGTGGGTAGTAGGTATGTTTTCCATACGGACAATGATAATGATGTTTCATCTCATAAAATTAATCAACGCATTTATGTTTTAAATTTTTAAAAGAGGAACTACCCGTACCCTGATCCCCTATTGCACGAAAATGTGGTACGTAGACAATAAAGGTTTGCAACCGCGGCGGATGCAAAAATTATAAAAAATATATATATATTTCTTTTCTCACCTCCACCATCCATTTTTTTATATATATAATTTTTTTTTATAGCCAAAATATACAGATTTTACAAAGAGGCTCATGCGGAGTACCGTAGATGTTTAGGGTGCTAATATATTCCCTTTGCATAACCAACTCCCTTACCTTGAATCTTTCCCCCTCTTTTTGGGTTATTCGCTCTTTTCCCATTCCTTTGGAAACAATAAAGCGCGGTGACGATTTTTATTTTGATTTGTATAAAGTCTAGTCAATTCAATGGCTTAGTCTTGAACATTTTTACTGTTAAAATAATGCAAAAATTACGTGTGTGTATATATATATATATATATATATATATATATATATATATATATATATATATATATATATATATATATATATATATATATATATATATATATATATATCATAAAATTTCAATTAGCAAAACTCATTTACTAAGAAAATAAAGAATTCATAAAAAAAAAAGAGCAAGGTGAAAAAGTAATTTCCATTGATTTCCAAGCATATCCATAGTACAAGCAGAATCACCCACTGTCTGCAGAAGCCGCCTCATAAGCTGAGTTTCCCTCAAACTCATACACTCACTCCTAACTCCCTCTAGAGAGAGAATAATAGTAACTTTTCTATTGGTAGAGAGAGACTAACAACAAGACAAAAGGGTTCAGCTTTTTTAGGGTGAAAGTGAGATCTTTTAAACGCATAACCATTTAGCATTGCAGTGTGTGAAAAAAGAAAAACACAAGAGTCTCTCTGAAACATATAGAGAGAGAATAGACTTAATCTACACGCCATTATAGTGTGGTCTTTGTTTCAGAAATGAGATAAACGTTCACTCCAACCATTACTTTTCTGCAAATTAGGTTAGGGCTTTCTACTTTCTATTTTCATTCATAATACTTCTAGTTCTATCCATATTCTTTTTATTTGTTTATTGATTCATGATAAGGACTATGTTTTTGTTTACTTTTTGTAGAGAGAGACATGTTGGACTATGAATGGGGTAACCCATCTAACATCATGCTTACCGGAAATGAAGATAACTCCGCCGCAGCTTCCGATCAAACCCACCGTCAAATCTTCGACCACTATGCTTCTCAAGCTATGCTATCTGAGAATTACTTAAACGGGTCTGGGCATGGGCTTGCCATCAACATGAACAACTGTGATTTCAACCACCTACAGCAGCAGCAACAACAACAACACTTTAGCCCACAAGCCCAGCATCATCATATGCATCACTCTTTCTTCGACCCACGGGCTTTTCAGGGTGGTTCTTCAACAAACTCATACCCTCCACCTCAACCATCACAGCATCCGTTGCTTTCTCTAGACCCACTTCCTCAAAACTGTGGGCATGGACATGGGCCTGGACTCCTTGTCCCGAAATCAGAGGATATTAACAGGCCCATGGACTTTGTCGGCTCTAGGATTGGGCTTAACCTTGGTGGCCGTACTTATTTCTCCTCTTCCGAAGATGACTTCGTGAGCCGACTCTACCGCCGGTCTAGACAGCCTGAACCGGGTTCACACGGGTCTTCCAACTCGCCTAGGTGCCAGGCCGAAGGATGCAATGCTGATCTGTCTCAGGCGAAGCACTACCACCGCCGACATAAGGTTTGCGAGTTTCACTCCAAGGCAGCCACCGTCATCGCCGCTGGGTTAACTCAGCGATTCTGCCAGCAATGCAGCAGGTTGTGGTCTTCAAATTACATAAATACCCCTTAAGTAACCAATCATTGAGCTAAATTTCTCATATCACAATATTCACTCCGAGGATATTTTCGTCTATTTGAAACATCCCTATGCTTTTTCAGTTTTTTTTTTGTCTTTCCTTCTATTACACTAGTGCTGCAATTAAACAACAATTACTCACTAAACTTGTTTAAACTTCAATTACATGCTAATTAAACCGAAACATATTTTCATCAAAAAGACGAAAAGGTCCTTTGTTTCAACGTGTGGGGGAAAAGCATGCAATAAAACACTAACCACAACAGAGCTAGAGGTGTTGGAGGCTAGGGGAGAACGTTGGGATTTGAAAAAGACGAAAGTACCCTTGGGGGAAGAGTTGACAATGATTGTGTTGACCGTACATGGGGAAATCCCGAGGGTATTTGTGTCCCTTAAAATACATATGTGTTTGTTTTCTTTTCAGTTTTGCTACTTACGTACTGCATTGTTTTGCTGCTTTTAGTTAGTACCATTCAAATCAAACAGATTACATTGTGTCTCAAAAAAATAATATCTTTTTTTCAATCATCTAAAACTATAAATATTATTATTTTTTATTGCAGGTTTCATCTTCTTTCTGAGTTTGATAATGGAAAACGTAGCTGCAGAAAGAGATTAGCTGATCATAATCGTCGCAGAAGAAAAACTCAACACCCAAATACTCAAGAAATTCACAAATCTCAAAACACTTTGGAAAATGCTGCTACAAGTATAATTCTTAATTAAATTCTTTCCATTATCATGATTATAGATCTATAGTACATGCTTTATTTTCTATTTTTGAAAAATAATAATAAAAGGTGTTTAATTTCTTTAATTTTTTTGTTAGGATCTCCGCCGGAGTCGGGAACTCAGTCTTCATCATCGGTGACGGTGGCGGTTTCTCCGCCGGATTATTTTCGACAAAGGTCGTATCAAAGCCCAAGCCCATCAACAATATCAAGCTCAATGTTTTTCTCAACTGGGTAGGGGAAGCAATAAATGTGTAGCTAGTATAACTAGGAGCATGCATCCCAGTTTAATTTGCATGGCTAATTATAATTAATATATTTCCAAGAAGAAATTAATTAATGGAGAAGCGTCATTAGCAACAATAATATAATATGTAATGGTTAAGTAAAAGTTCCACTTGTAACCTTTCTCCTAAAATTTATTTCAAATTAAGCTTTATAATATATTTTCTTGTTGCTTTACTACTCTTGGTTAATTTTAGTTTTACCATTACCAATTTCAAATTCTATAAATGTTAAGATTTTTTTTAGTGTATGTTATCATAAATATATCATTATTAGGAAAACTAAAATTAGCAACAAAAAATCGAATATAAAAAATAAATTCCTTTATTATATTTTTCCAAGGTTGAATAAGGAAATGCACTTTTTCCCCTCTTTACCTATTACATATTACTTTTCTAGTGAATGAATTATTTAAAACTATTGAATCTAATAGAGTGAGCTGGGTTTTAACTTTTAATCAAGTTCATAGAGTAGTTGAAGAGACATTAATTTGTAGGGAAGCAAGTTTGAAAGTATATCATTCCACTTTTCTTGAATTAAGGGGTAAACTTCTACTCATAAAACTATTAAACCAAAAAAATAATGAGATAGATTTTTACAATATGATTAAATTTATTTAAGTTAATTTTTATTTTTAAAGAATATATAAAGGGGATCTAAAAATACAATAACTATAAAAAATACACTTACCAAACTTTACAAAAATAATAATAACTAGAGTGAATGGTTAAGTCACATCAATTTATTTAACATTCTCCAGATTTTCCAACACAGCTCACGGTTAAAATTGTTATTGTGTCACTAAAATTATGTTAGAGTTCACATTGTTTAGATTCACGAGTTATGTTAATACATTAAATATGTTTGAATGTCTTCAACTTAAGCAAAGAAGTTGTTTCAACTATAAAAAAAAATTTTATTTAATAATTGACAAAAAAGTAAAACAAAAAAAGTCAATAATAAACTATCTAAGTTAGGGAAGTAGAAACAAATGGAATTGTGCAATACTAGTGTTCCACCATATTGATGATATGGTCGGGTTTAACTGCAGTAAAAAAAAAAAGTACTGCCATAGTTATGGTAAAGCGTAGAAGAGAAAAATGGCCCCCTCAATTTGTATTTACCTGGAAATAGTATCTGTCTGTTTTGTGTGGTGGTAGCTGAACACGGGTTGTTTCAGAATAACACATTCATCATTTTTATTTTTCAGGCAATGAATTATTTTCCTTTTGTCTTGTACTCTATTATTTCCTAAAAAATGAAGTTATCATATAAATTATATCAAATTTTGATGCATTTATCATTTGAATTCTAAGCCGTCAAGCTGTCTCCTATATGGAAGCTATATAGCTGTACTACTAAACCCAGTAATATACTAGTTGCCCATATCAACCTGCAGATGCTCTTACTCTTTCTCTCTCTATACTCTCTCTCTCTACATATACATGTGTGTGATATGTTGCTATTCCTTGTTAAAGTACCTACCTGTTGTGGTCTAACAAAAAACATAAATATAAAGTGGAATCATTTCTTACTATCTCCATCCTAAATTAAATGTATATCTATTTATTTTTATCATATAAGTTAAGGAAACTAGTATTAATGAAAGTACAGTATAGTTTTATAGAATTATTTATAAATATATAATGAACTGTACTTTGGAGTTGTGGAAAAAAAATATTAATTTGGGAAATTATTACATATTATTGAATTTGGTAGGTTATAAGAGTCTTTCTCCATTTAATTTAAGTATGAAATAAAAATGAATGATCAAGAATAGATGAGTTATGTGAAATACTTTGAATTCTCATAGGTAAAATTATATTAGGGGTCTCTTAAGTTATTTTAGTATAATAGATTGGTTTTTTTTTTTAATTTGATCATATAAGTTATTAAACGTGTGTACCATTATTATTTTTAAAAAAAAATCGTGTAAAAAAATGTGCCATTAATGTGAATGGAGTGTCAGTAACGGTGATGACATGTAATTTTAAAATAAATTAGTAACAAGAGACGAACGCATAAATTTCTAAATCTCAAACTGTGAAATAAAAGATGCATAAATCCCTAAACAAGGACGAACGCAAAAAGAAGGATAGGAACTCATACACGAAGAAGGAGAGTGACACAAGTACAAACAAAGAAGGGAGAATAAGGATTAGAAGGATTCATAGCGCTAATATGTTTGATTGAACGACGGAAAATAACAAACAAGTGATGGGAAATAATAAATGAAAAGAAGACTTAGAGGACTAAGGTAATGTTTTATTTTCCTTAATTTTGCGATTCTCATTTTAGGGTTTGTGGGTGAGTGTTTAGATTATTTGTAATGGTAGTGGTAGGGTAGTGTAACATAATGTAATGTTGTTTGGTTTATGTCTAGGGTTTTATTTGTGGTCCCTTATTTCTTTATTCTCCAAAAGCGCATCATATCTCTGCTTGTTAGGGTGGTGTAGCATAATGTAACATTGCTTTTTGTAGAGTAATGGGATTGTGGTTGATGTAAACAGGACAAAAATGAATATTTTCATGTTGACTTTCATAACGGTAGATAGTTTGATGATAAGGGTACATATGTAGGAGGAGAAGTGTCAAATTGGAAGTGTGATGGTGATAGATGGAGTTATTTTGAAATTTTATGTGTTGATAAAGAAATGAGGTATCCAGGGGTACTTGAAGTGTGGTATGATTTTGTTGGTAAATTAAAGTCGCTAGAAAATGACTTTGGTGCAATAGAACTGCTAAATTGGTCTAAGACTAATGGAAAGGTGAACTTATACACAGTCCACCCTATTTCTCAATCTGAAGTAATAAAAGTAGTTGAACCACAAACTGCCCAAACTGAAATCCATACTCCCACAACCCGAGACCCTCCCTGAGATACCTGAACAAAATGCCAAAGTTTTCAAAGATTCCTAAAACCCAACAGAACCCCAAACTGACCATAACGAACAAAGTGATGGCAATGCATTAGGATGCAGGTTTGATGACTCAGATGATGAGGTATTAAATATGGAATTCATAAGGTGTTGGTAGTAGTATGAGGGTTTGTTGTTGGCCAAAATGATCAACATGTGGATGAATTAGAAGCGGATGAAACACCTCAAGATAAAAATAGGAAGAGTGGGAGACCAAAGAAAAAGAAGGCAACATGAAGTTCCAAAAAGAAAAAGGGAAGACCACAAAATAAGGGTGGATAAAGAAATTTTGTAGATAATGAGCAATCAAGTGAGAAAGATACACTTGATTTTAGGTTTTTCGAAAGGAATAAAGATAAAATGGTACATATGGTTTTTTAGATTCAAATTATATATTTGAAGAGTTAGAAACTGATGAGAGTATGAGTGGTGAATATCCATATAAGGGTACAGAGGTAAAATACCCATCAGTTGTAATGCATAAGAATTTTGCTGACTATACATGGGAATCGGGAACTATGTTCTAAAAAAGGGAGAAGTTCAAAGCAGCAATTACAAATTACGCTATTCATAATGGCAGAGATTTACGCTTTATAAAGAATAACAAGACAAGGATTAGAGTGGGATGCAAGGAAAGGTTTGGATGGGTTACATTGTGTTCAAAATTGATAAATGAGGATACATGGCAATTGAGAAAACTGAATGACACTCACACATGTAATATGAAGTTTAATGTTATGATGTTTAACGCTAAGTGGTCTGGGAAGAAATTGTACTCAACCGTTAGAGTTAACCTAGTTATGAAACTTACTTCAATATATGAAAAAATTAATGAGAAATAAAATATTGTTATGAGTAGTGTTGTACCCTAACTTTTGACCTAAGATCCCATATAAATAAATCATACATGTCATTATCTTCATCACAATCTCATCAAATTATGGTTTCATCATGGGTTCATCAAGTGCTTGAAGAGAATTAGGGTTTTGCATCCTTAGTTGAGAAATCGAGAATTAGGGTTTTGAAGGGTGAGCTCCAATGAACATCACCCAAGAGGTTCTAAATGTCATCATCTCATAGTCCTCAAGACGTCTCAATGTATTAAAGATTGCATCATGGTCAAAAGGTCTCATTGAAATTGGAAGATTTGAATTCATTTGGAAAAGTCAACTGCTCAAAGTCAAACTTTGACTTTTGAGAATTTTTAGTCAAATATGTACTTCCCAAGTTAAATTTCATGAAAATGTGGTTGATATTTGAATTTTATCAAGTGAAATCACAAGATTTGAGATAACTTGCAGAAAGGGCAAAGTTGAAGAAATTGAAAAAAAATTCTAACTCCTAAATACCATGTTCAAGTGACCAACTTTCCAAGCTTGTAACTATAAATCCAAACAATAATTTTTCATGCCAAAGGGGTGTAATTAAAGATGATCCTACATACTTCAACATTTTGGAAAAAATTGACTCAAAAGCTTATAAGGATTGAAAGATATGAAGTACCGAAGTTGATGTCTCAAAATTGTGAAATGCCAAAGACTTAGAGAATTTTCTAAGTGTTTTTCAGATTGAAAGTCCAATTTTATTGGCCAGTTTTCTTATTGATTCAAAATAATTTAAGCCAAGTGATTAACATGAATGTTGTAGAGGATGGGACTATCTTTCCAATGATACCAAGAACATGAATTTATCTTGCCTGAGCATCAAGTTTTGAAGAAGAGAAGTTTCCATGGTGAAGTTGTTTTACAAACCTGAGGTTCAAATTCATGTCAAACCTAGGCCAAACCATGTGATATTTCTTTGCAGCGTATATTTCTTCTAAATATCTGCATAATTGATGAAATACATAAGTCCATGATGCATTACCCAAGTGTCTTAGGCTTTGTTTAAGTTTCATTCCATTTTTGTGCAAAAGTCATCACTTTCATTTACATAAAGCTCACTTTAAACACAATGTCAATTAATTAAGCCCATATATTGTTATCTTTGATCACACTTTATCAATAAACTCATAAGCAATACCCTAAAGCCTCCCTATTGTCTCATAAATCACTCAAGCTATGCATTGGAACCACCATGGTAAAGAAACTACCACTTTCATCTCAACTAAACAAAAACCTCACAAAATTTGTTTTTCACCAGTCCCTACCCACTCAAACTTATCTATAAACAGAGAGCATGTCTCAGCTTTAAAACAAACAAAAATTCTCCCTCAAACACACAAACACATTGAGAAAAAATCACAAAACTCCATTGTTACACCAAAGAGCCATTTCTTAGAAACTCCCATTTCCTTTGAGTTTTCTAAAAACTCTCCACATAATCATCATCAATACACTTCATAAGATTTTATGTATGCATTAATCTGTAGCTGAAACCACCACATCATTCCACCCAACCTGTGCTCATTCATCATTGCAACTTGACTTGGTCAGATAGATTCAAATACTTTCAAGGCAAACTAAGAATTGCATTGTGTTCCTGAGATTTCAAGCAAGATAAAGAGATCATTTTGCACCATTGAAAGATCTTGAAGAAGGCATTGGACCTTGCTCCAATAGGTAACTTTAGTGAGACTTGAAACTCTATTATACAAGCATCATTTTAAGCATTTCTTGATACTATTTTGTTTGTTTGAATGCCATGAATGAAAGCCCCATGAAAATGGGCATTGGTTGATTGTGTATGCCATTTAATTTAACTTTCAAAAAACTTAGGATTTCTGGTTTCATCCAAAATTCGTGAGTTACATTTAATAAGAATTTATGATAAGCACATATTTGGGTTCTTTGTGAAATTTCAAGCAAGTTAGTTTTTTACTTTTTTCAATTTGGTTGAGAAATGAGAAATCACGAAAATCACCATTGTTGGTATCATGAGGTTGAAGACGATGATGGCTGGTGCAAAATTTGATTTTTTTTAAAGTTGAGTTTATTACATATTTAATTGAATGCAATTTATAATTGAATTGGCATTGTACCCCAGTGGTAACACATTGTTTTTGTTATGTTTGTGTGTGAGTGAGAGGCCTGTGGTTTGAATCCCCCTCGCCCCAAACCCTTTTTTTTTATTTTTTTTAAACCATTCAGAAACTTGCTTTATTTTTGTGTTTGTGGTTGTGTTATCTAACACCATGTAGCGCATGACCCAGTGACTATTGTTTTGGTCCTTAACATTGAGGGCGTGGGTTCAACATCCTTGACCACCATTCCTCAATTTTTAGCACTAGTTTTCTTTCTTTTTTTTTTGTTTCTATTTCTTTTCTTTTCATTTTCTTTTAAGTTTTATTTTATTTATTTATTTATTATATTTTCTCTCTTGATTTTCATTATGTCAAACTTAAATATTTAAAACACCAAAAATATTTTATTTATCTTTGATTTTATTTGTTTAATATGTTAATTAATTAAAATACCAAAAAAATAGTTTATTTGTTTAATTTAATTAAATCTTGGTGTTTCTTTTATTAAACCTTTGTAAATTATTTTTCTTAAATGACTCTCTTAATGTCATGATGCCTTAATGAAACTACTTGAGTGTGATTCAATTTTTGAGATTCTATACCATGATTAAGTGATGTTGAATGCCATGAACATAATTGATTTAAATACTTTGTTGCTTTGTCTTAATGATTGAGATTTTAGGGGTTTGCCATGCCTAGTTGGTCCATACTATTGCTTTGAGATCTTGATTCAAATGCCTTGTTTATTTGTATAAAGATCTAATCCACGAAGCTTTCATGTTACTTTGCTTTGATATTAATCTTAATGATTATGTGATGATGGTTGATGTTTATACTTCATTATATTAGTACTTGTGCTCAAATCCAAGGAAAGGGGTTGTATTGTTGACTTGATAGTCATTTGCATGTGTATATCTTATGTTCATCTTCATGTGTTTACTTTTGTATATTACCTTGAAAATGTTTATCTTGTGTTTACTCTTGTGCACTCAAACCCTAATTTTGATTTTAAACTTGAACTTCTTTCATATAAAAAACCTTGACTTTATGTCATTGCATTTTCAAACTTTCTTCTTTCAATAAATATTCCAATATACTTAAGCATGTTAAAAAATTTCAAAAGACTAAAAAATATTCAACCTCATTCAAATCATTTTGCCATATGGTTTTTAAATTTAGAACTCTTTTCACAAGATATTAGACATGAGTCATCTTCATAGTTAAGGTATAATTCTCCTACTTCTATAATATTGATTGAAACCATGTGATTCTTTTCCACTTAATGGAGTTTAGTGGCATACTTGTTGATTTTATATCCAATTTAGAGCCTTTCCCTCTAAGATGATGCAAAGATACATCTTCTCATACTCATGGATGTCTAGTTGCATAATTTCCTTAAGATGTCAACTTATCTCTTCTCCTAAAATCAATCATAACAAATCCTTTTGTTTATTTTTACCACGAACTACGAATTTTTGATCCTTCATTGGTACGTAGGTATAAGACTTTATGTCTTTCCAAACAAAAAAAATATAATAAAATGTATTTCTCTTCTCATCTCCACACTCTTTTTGCAAAAAAACCATTTTAACAAAAAAAATAGATATTACAAGAGGTTCCTATAGAGTACTATAAATACATATGGTTCTAATACCTTCCCTTTGTATAACCAACCCTGTACCTTGAATATCTTCTTTTTGCTTTGCTTTTAGTTATACTTCTTACATTGCATGTTGTGATCGGTGGGAAAGAGAACTGGGTGTTTTGGAATGCTGGTTCGCATTTTGCGTTTGTTTTTGCAAAATGTCGCGGTAAGAAAGAGTCGCCTCCGTCTTTTATTTTATCCAACAAGGAAAGGAAAAAAGCACAGAAAAATTCCTTTTTCGAGATGTTTCTCGGGTTCGGGAGGTAGATTATAGAAAGGTAAGGTGTTAACACCCTTTCTATCCATGGTTATCCATGGGCTCTTAGGTACTTTCTCAAAGTGTTTAAAAAATTT